GCCTGTCTTTGCACGCCCCCTGCGGGAGAGGGCCCTGGCCGTGAGCAGGACGAGCCTGTCTTTGCACGCCCCCTGCGGGAGAGGGCCCTGGCCGTGAGCAGGACGAGCCTGTCTTTGCACGCCCCCTGCGGGAGAGGGCCCTGGCCGTGAGCAGGACGAGCCTGTCTTTGCACGCCCCCTGCGGGAGAGGGCCCTGGCCGTGAGCAGGACGAGCCTGTCTTTGCACGCCCCCTGCGGGAGAGGGCCCTGGCCGTGAGCAGGACGAGCCTGTCTTTGCACGCCCCCTGCGGGAGAGGGCCCTGGCCGTGAGCAGGACGAGCCTGTCTTTGCACGCCCCCTGCGGGAGAGGGCCCTGGCCGTGAGCAGGACGAGCCTGTCTTTGCACGCCCCCTGCGGGAGAGGGCCCTGGCCGTGAGCAGGACGAGCCTGTCTTTGCACGCCCCCTGCGGGAGAGGGCCCTGGCCGTGAGCAGGACGAGCCTGTCTTTGCACGCCCCCTGCGGGAGAGGGCCCTGGCCGTGAGCAGGACGAGCCTGTCTTTGCACGCCCCCTGTGGGAGAGGGCCCTGGCCGTGAGCCGTCCACCGCATCCCACGGGTGGGGGAGGGACGGTTCCGATTTCATTATCAGCTTTCAGATTAATTCCTGAAAGTGCCTGGGAAATAAAGGAGGGGCACGCTTGGCAGAGGCAGGTGGGTCCCTCGGGCTATGAGTCCCTTGCATTCCTGAGCGCAAGCAGCTGCCAGCGCCCAAGGTTATTTCTAAACCTAGAAAAGCCTGTGAATGGGGCACTGAAAGTCTCTCATCCGCTCTGGTCTCCCCGCCCTGAGTAGAGGAGGCAGGGGCTGCCCCAGGCCTCCGGGGCCACTGGGGATTGGACAAAAGGGGATGTGCCTGAGGCCGGGGGCGCGTTGGCCTGTGCCCTGCCTGGCCGTGCCTGAAGCCGCGGGGAGCTGGCCTGTGCCGTGCCCGGCCGTGCCTGAGGCCGCGGGGAGCTGGCCTGTGCCGTATCCCGCCGG